ATATATATTTATACATAAGCACGATAAAAAGAATAAAATAATTAAAAGATAAATTTCAGCACAGTAGAGGGTGTGGCACAATAGCAGCACAATAGTACAATCAGTGTGTCAAATGTAGGACCTGTATGCAGCTTAGCAGTATTTCACATTTCTTAGGGATAGATAAATAAATTATTTTGCACCGGTGGGACATGAGGCAAGACATTCAGTAACTCCTCGCTGCCATCAGTCTGACTGTGGAAGGGAAGAAGCTTTTCAGAAATCGAGTCTTATGTGTGATGATACTGTCCGCTCTGCTGTGTCTCAGGTTGTACGTGCAGCGTTTGAGTCTAAGCAGAGAGTGAGCAGGGTGGGCTGGGTCTCTGCAGATCCCCTCTCTCTGGCAGCGCTGCACATACAGGGATTCCATGGATGGACGTTTTGTCCCAACAACACCCTCTGCAGTCTTAATGACTCTTTGCAGAGCCTTCCTCTCTGCCTGAGTGGTGTTCCCGTAGCAGACAGTGATGCTCGTGGTGAGGATGCTCTCTGTTAGTCCTCTGTAGGCCTGGGTGAGAGGGCGGCTGCTCAGACCAGCTTTCCTGAGCAGCCTGATGAAGTAAAGCCTTCTCTGAGCTTTTTTCACTGCGACTTCTGTGTTAAGAGCCCAGCTCAGGTCTGATGTAACCTGCAGTCCTAGAAATCTGTGGCTGTCCGGTCTCTCCACCTCGCTCCCTCTGATGATAAGAGGCTGTAGAGGGGGAGGATTCTTCCTAAAGTCCAGGATAATTTCCTTGGTCTTGTCTGTGTTCAGGATGAGGTCGTTCTCCTCTCCATAGACGAGGATGTTGTTTACCAGGGACCTGTATCCTGACTCATCTCCTTCTTTGATGAGTGGTGTCGTCAGCATATTTGATGATAGGCTTGCTGTCCTGGGTGGATGCACAGTCATGTGTGTACAGGGTGAAGAGTTTGGGGCTGAGGCAGCAGCCTTGTGGGGATTCTGTGAGCTCAGAGGACACCCGTCCTCCCATCCTCACCACCTGCGGTCTTTCTGTCAGGAAATCCAAAATCCAGTTGCAGGTGTGAGTTGGGACACCAAGGTCTGCCAGCTTCCCAATCAGTTTGCCCGGCCGATTGGTGTTAAATACTGAGCTGTAGTCTAGGAAAAGCATCCTGGTGTACGTCTTGTTGCTGTCCAGGTGTTGCAGGACGTGGTGGAGGGCAACCGCTACTGCGTCATCCACTGATGACTGGTGCGGTGGGCAAACTGGAGTGGATCCACAGTATCAGGCACTGGGTTGTTGAAGTGGGTGAGAGTTTGTTTCCCTCGACCAGGGGTGCTCAAATATTTTCCCTGAGAGGGCCAAAATTAAAATCAATCTGAAGGCCGTGGGCCAAATGCAATAATATAAGAAATGCAAATACTTATTTAAAGTTGTTTTATTTTTTATGATTGAGCTAGCAGCCAGTGTGGTTGCCCATATTCTTTAGTATTTTTTTTCAACCCATGGACATGGAGAAAATTCAACGTATGCTCAGGCAGCAAAGGCTCATGGGACTTTTCATCATTTAAAATCTGAGTATATGTGGTCTTATAAGTTGTGCAAATCTATACATGGGCTTAAATCTAATCTAAATATCTTTTGTAGTTACTTGTATTTTATATTTAATCTTAACATAATTACAATCTAATTACCAGGACAACTGCTGGTGGGCCAAATCAAATGGCTCAGCGGGCCAATTTTGGCCCACGGGCCCCACTTTGGGCACCTCTGCTCTAGACACTTCATGGCGACCGGTGTGGGTGCCACCAGCCTGAAGTCATTTAGGGTGTGTGTCTGGTGTCACTAATTTCTCGCATGCGTCCATCTCTTACACCCAACAATGCAGCCATGCTCTGGTCACATCTCGTCTGGATTACTGTAATTCACTTCTCTTTGGCTTAGCAGACAAACTCAAGTTGTTCAAAACTCTGCTGCTGGGATTATCACCAGAACTCCTTCCATTTGTCATATAACACCAGTCCTGCAGCAGCTACACAGGCTTCCCATTAAATATCGCATCACTTACAAGATCCTCATTCTTACATTTAAGGCCATTAACAACCTTGCTCCTCCATATATTTCCTCACTTCTCCATGCTTACATTCCTCCTCGTAATCTCAGATCCTTCAGCCTTCAGCTGTTCGGCCCCCCGCCTATGGAACTCTCTCCCTCTGGACCTCATCAGTTCTCCATTACATCATTCAAATCTCAACTCAAAACCTCTGTTCAAGAAAGTGTACACACTTGAACCATAAATCTAACTACCAGTATTCTCATAGTTTGTGCTATTTTTATTTTTTGTTTTGTTAACTGATTTATTGCTTTTATTGTGTTTATTGTTTTACTGTGGTTTTTATTATTGACTTCTGTAAGGTGACCTTGAGAGTTTTGAAAGGCTCCTATAAACAAAAAGCATTATTTTTATTATTATTATTATTATTATTATTATTATTATTATTATTATTATTATTATTATTATTATTATTATTCATTTCTGTTGGAGAAACACTCGCAGACAAAGGAGAACATTACTGCCCAGCTGAATAATAACATATTTATTATTTTTCTTTGATCATTGAATTGTTTGTGTTAATTATTAATTTAAATTATTTTTATAGCTTTTTTGTTTGCATGTTTATTATGTGATCATTTAGATAAAAAAACAACTACAGATTCTGCACACTGCGCATCATGGACAGTTTGGATCCCCTCTGTCGTCATTCATGACTGAAACACAAAGAATTCACTTTTTTTTTCGCAAAAATAAACAAATGCCTAATAAAAGATTTTAAAAAAGGAAAGATGCACAAAAATTCTGCAATTTGTTGTGAAATAGTCAAAAAAGCTGAAAACAGCAGAAAAGTATCTGCAAGGTAGCCGAAAAGATGAATCTAGCACAAATAAATAGAGTGAATTCAGCTGAAAAAGGCTAACTTTAGCTGATACTAGCTTAAAAAAGTAACTCAAATTAAACATTAAAAAGAAGCACTTTTATCCAATCAAGTATGAAGAAGCTGAAGTTATCACAAGCTGGAAAAAAGAAAAAAATAGCTGACAATAGTAAAAAAGTAGGTTAAATTAAAGAAAACAACTGAAAAATCATAAAAAGCTTTAATTAGCAGTATCTGATAAAAGTACTAAAATAATTTGCAGAAAAGCTGAAGAGCAGAAAGAAAGCCAAAATAGCAGGAAAAAGCTAATGTTAGTAAAAAAAARAAAAAGGGCTGAACAAAGCTAAAATGAGCACAAAGAACTAAAAAAAAAACAACAACACAGAACCAGAACAAAAGGTGTAAAGTGCAGGAAAGGTTTACGTGTTTTAAAGGGTTTTATGGACGTTAAGACATTCATTTTTAATGAAAACAAAAATGGCCATAAAGCTAAATATTCCATAAACTGCTGAAAAACCAAAAGTCGGAGGCAGAATGTCCTGAAGGAGCTGAACACACATGAATTGTTGAAAAAGTGCAGAAATTGTGGAATGAGATGCGTTAAATGATTTGTGAACATTCACACAATAAGGATTTTACAGAACGTGTTGCAGGTGTTCGTTACAAACATTGTTTCCATCTCGCACCCTGACTCACATTTCCTGAGGCAGATTTCACACAACAGCAACATGGTTCTGTGACCGGGACACACACTGCTGCTGAGCTTCACCTCTCTGTCTGTTTTACACACATTCACCTGAAATATAGCAGCTGACAGCTCTGCTCAGCTTCTACTTTGACTTGTAACGTATCAGGAAAGATGTGTTTTTAAAACTTTTACCATGACGCTCACACACAGGAGACCAAAGCATGTGGTCTGCTGAACATGAGCGTGGTGAGACAGAGACTGTGTGAATCTGAGCCAGAATGTAGACGGACACAAGGAGCTCAACAAAATAAAGTTCTGCTTCATCATAACAAAATATAAAACCATACAAGAAAAGTAAACCCGGTCTAAAACCAAAATACACAGAAATCAAGTTTTACAAATCTGAGCTACAACTCTGATCTTCCTCAACACAACTCTGCAGAGTTTCTCATGAAAACTTTGGAGTCAAAATATTTCATGGACCACAGGGCAGATAAATATAAAACTAATCATTGAATGCATTCAAATCAACCCAATTCAAAATGGCCACCTCGGTCAATCAACCTTATTCAACACAGAAATTATTATAATTCAGTGAAATTTACAGATATTAAACTAAAATTTAATGTGGAGCAGCTCAGAGTCTTTCCTAACATGTCCTCTGAGTATTAACACATCTCAGGGGCTTAAAAATACATCGCTTTATTATTTTTTAATGAGAGATTAGCTTTATCTGAAACTCTGGCTTCAAAGGTGGGTTTGTCTGTCCCCCCAATCAGGTTTGAACTAAAACAAATCCAGTTCACTCCTCTCATCTGCTACGGCTACTTTCAAACAAATCCTGATGTTGGTTGATCTTACCCTGCAGAGTGTGGAAGACGGAGTCCATGATGTCTGCAGCTGAAGACAGACAGGCTGAGGAGATGTCAGAGATCCTGAGCTGGGACCCTCGATGGAACAACCGGAGGTCAGGAAGTGACACCAGATCAGTTCTTTAATGATGAGCTGCAGAAAGAGACCAGTGGAAACACACACCTGCCTTCTGCCTGCAGCTCACATCTGATTAACCACTTCCCACACACACACACACACACACACACACACACACACACAC